CCCAGAAAAACCGCATTGTCAAATTTCGTAGATAGGGACAAAATACAGGGTCAGATCGAATTTCTAGTGCGTGAAAGTAGTTTAAAGCGTACATATCAATAACGCAGGTAATTAGATTAATGTTCCTTGGCAGTAAAACAAGGCTAGATATTGTCGACTAATCACGGCTTTCCAGCTGTTTTCAAATGTCAAAGATTATGCAAGCAAAACCAAAAAAAAAGCAGCACATGTTAACCATGTATCCATTTTACATAAAACTAGGACAAGGAGGTGCAAATACGTGAAAACCGACTACAGCCCCACATTAATGCAAAGAATCAACGCACTGGCACAACGGTTAGCACATGAACCTGACGTTATCGACAATTTGCAAATTCTTAGACTCAGTCTTGCTTAAATTTATCAATTTTATAGTGTACACATCTCTCACCTGCATTGGTGAGGACAAGGCTATGCTATGACTAATATTTCAGTTTATTTCTAACGTATACAGGAGAACCACTGGCGGTTTCATTACTTAGCCTGCCAGAAGAAACCTTGGGCTACGCCTACAGAGCATTATTCAATATGTTCCCTCGTTTTGCAGTCTAGGGACAGGAAACCAGATTGGAAACTGATTCAAATCAAAATCATTCCACCACATACTGGGTCGTTTTCGCTTAGATTTAACAAAATGGCTGATAACCCATGTTGACATCTGCTGAAAACCACCATAAAAGACGTGCGACTGCTAAAACGAAGTCTCATCAATTTCTCTCAAGACAGATGTAGCAGTAAATGTGTTTTCGAAATTGCAGGGCTGATAGCGGTACCCCAAAACCCTTAACTATTCGACAAGCAATTACAATGTGTTTTGCAGTACCGACCGCGTGTCTTCAACTTTGAGGCTAAAATTGCATCGACCCGACAATTGGAGTGAAAGTAAACAACACTAGTAGACATAGATCTAAGGCAAAATCTGCAGTTCAATTGAAGCAATAAGAAAACCGCGCCTGGAATTCACGTTAACTGAAAGCGAGTTTTCCGGATATCCGTAAAATGGTTTGTAAAATTTCCTTTGACACATTTATCAAAACAGCATTGTGATCAAGCTAAACAAGGCTCACCTATGATCACTTCTGACCGATACTTCCAAGAGTTCTAGAAGAGCCTCAAACACTTCACCTTAAAATAACGTAACAAAAGAACAAAAAATATGAGAATCCTGAATCGAAAATAGAACGCAGTAACCAAGTCATGAAAATTATTCCTCACACGGATACCAAATAGCTTGTATGAACAAGGTAGATTAAAAGGGACTAAGAAACTTGTTCGATGAGGGAGGACCTGGAGGAAAGATGTCCAGGGATATTAAGGCCATGCTTCGGTTGCGCCAGTCAAACCTGGCGACGACTTTTCTCGATTATACAGAAGAGCTACAAACGTTCATGATTAAAGGGATCCAAAACAACCAATAAGGAACGCGGTTATAGGTAGAGTAAAAGACACTTGGATAGCCACAGAATTGAGGCACTTGACACTGCTCATTGCGATACGCGAAGAACTGAGAAAATGAAACACCAATTTACAAAGAAGTAAATGAACGCATTTTAGGAAGTTCGGTGGAACAAAGTCAAAAGAACCGAGCGAAGTTAGCTCAGTTGAATAACAGACAAGGAAGCAAGAAATTTCGGGTGGAGTGGAATACCTCGAAGGGAAACAAAGGGCAGCTTCATTCTCTGAACATATTTCTACGAGTTACCTAAATTTACCTTACATGATTACTCTAAAAGCATGGTGACCATCGAAGCGAATAGAATTCTAGACACCGTTACATTGATGCATCCAGCATTCATTGTAAAAGAACAAAAGGCAGGCAAAAGTTGAAAAACCCTAAAAAAACCAAAATGTTGACTAACTAACTTGGCGTTATACAAGCCGACCATAAAATTTAAGCAAAAACAAGTCATTAGAATTATAACACTTTATTTGTTACTAGATTCAAGATAATGAACAAAAACCCAAAAAATGATTTTGTTCAAAATAACTCACATCCGATAAAATTCAGACTAAAACCAAGTCAAAATAATAATATTTTGGCTATGGGCCTCTGTACTCCGAGTACTTTCTCATTTTTCGCAAGACAAATAGAGGGGGGACGAAAATAGAGAAGAATGCAACGCATGTTCCGACGCGTTCCTAAAACATCACGCAGATGATAAACGCAATACCTTTGTCGTCAATGGTTTTTTTGACCTAATTACAATGAGCTTATATGCCCTACGACACAGTACAAGAGGCAGCCTAGAGGAAGAAAACATGTCCGCACGAAATTAAACCGCGAATTATGGCCCCACACCAAACTTTGTGTTGTTTGAGGGTGATACCATGGACAGATGAAAGAAAAATTTCTAATAAGATAAAAGTTCAGTGCATTAAGTTTGCCAAAATTACTCTTTGATAATTTGTCAAAAAATGTATTTAAAAAAATGTTTGAAGTGCTATCGTGGATAAGCTTCATTATCTACAAGGGAGTCAAGCTTTCATTTCACGAAAAGAGGTCATTTGCTAAAAGAAGGTTTGTGTTTGGGTTTGGACATATGCGGACAGGAATAGTGCGATGCTTTTTTCAAAATATGTTTATCTAAGTGTGACAGTATAATATGTCAAGTGAACAGTATCTGCAGAGTATTCTTTGCCGTAGCAATAATGTATGACCCTTTATTTCTGTAACGAATGTCTCTCTCGTTTTTTTAAATGCATCTTATAACAAATTTTAACTTTAACTTAACTTTGGTTGTTAAACAAAATGATAAAAAAAGTATGTAGGATAAATCAATGCTACGAAACCTCTGTAGCGTAGGCCTTGTAATAGAATTTGCGTAAATTCTAAGGCATGTAGTGGTTTTCTACGTCAAAGAAGTTACTTTAGCTTAAAGTACTACGAATAATTACTTTTAACGCAAGTGTATTAATTGATTTAATGCTCCTTTAATTTTTTGTTATCGGTTTGAGGTTTTTGTGTGATTTAGTTGCGTATCGTTTTGAAGAATATCTGAACACTGGTATGAAAAAAAAGTTAAAAAGCGAGCATGCTTTTTAGACCAACCACAAGATGCAACTATCTAAAAAACTCCGTCCATCGAAGTCGCATTTATTTATGACAGAATAGCCCTTATCGTGTCTCAAACTCATTAGTCGAGATCAAAAACGCATTTTGCTAGATTATGCGCACTGTGGTCCAAAAGCTAACTCGCTCATACATGGAGAAATAGCAAACGGACCATCAGGAGGCAAGGAAAGCCACGAATAAAATGTAGAATGACGTCATTTTCCACCATACGCCTCAAACATGTTGTGTTGTGCCCTTGTCAAAAGTCAGTGGTATTATCTAATTCCTTGATTCTTAAAAAGTAGGATAAGTCATCAGTTTTCTTCCTATAATGGGTGGGTCACTGTTTATTTAACGTTTCGCCTTCATACCCATCTCCGATTAGCTGTTGATTATCCTTATTGGCCATCCATATTCAGATGAACATAGTGTAGAGTATCCGAGCACTAGTTTGAATAAGACCGGTACAACAGAACAGGCTTAATTGACCAATCAGAAACCAGAGCCACACGCCAGGCGCCTTCCATCCGAGTTTAACATGCTGGCCACGCCGCTAAATAAATACTGTTCCTCATTCGTGTCCATCTCTGGTTGGCTGCTTCTTCCTCGCATGCCATTGGAACTCAGGGAGACACAGGATTGGCTGAGGCTAGGCGGTCCAACATGTCTGCGTCCTGATCCGACGCCGCAGTAGAATTGGCTAAGTTTGGCTTGATCAAGGTGGCGGCGCCAAGTCCGAGAATTCAGTGTCTATTTTGGTTCTGATATTAATTTGAGTTTAGTTTTTAACTCCATCGTTATTGTTTTCTATGCAGTTTAAAGAAGTTTAATGATTTTTAGTTCGGTCCTCTATTTCACTGACACGTCACTTTAGAATTTCGCAGACTAGCGGGCTATATTCCACCTACGAAAAAGGTTTAGGTCGACCTTTTTTTGTATCTTGAATTAGTTTTTCAAGAAAACCATTGTTCCGACCTAGTAATAGTCGATGCAAAATGCATTTCCCATTTCCTCTGCTACTTTTTGTACCCGGGGACATATGGAGGTAATTCATTCACTAACTTTTTGCCTAATGAAGATTTTAAGCGTAAGGGGCCTGTGTTGGAAGTATCAATCATTCATAAATCTGCTTGCCTGATGCACCATTTAACATTGAACCTGGAGCTCTGAATCCACACTCTCGTGGTTAATGTGATGAAAATTATCTGTTAATTAGATTCTTTTACATACGTGTATTTTCTCTTGTTACACCACCCTTAGGCTTCAGAGTGGAGTTTCATCACCCCTTTTAACATCTTTCAACCCTATGTACCCTCATGTGTATTGCCCACGTACGACTTTGATCCGGCGTTTAAGCGACCGGCTTCCCATCACCTCTAGTTGTCTTTGCCTCTTCAGGGTACCTTAAGGCTAACTGCCCCGAAATATCACAAATCCTCATATATTTGGTGTCCGTTTCAGCACACAAGCAAAGCAAACATTCTCGTGCTTTCCCACCTCAGCATAGTTTGAACCAGTCTTTTCGTTTTCCTGAAATCTCTTCGCACAGGTTATCCATTTAAATCAACGGTTCTCCCAGGGCTAAACATTGTCTATTTGTAGTGTGTTCCGTTACGACCTGAAAGAAGCTTCCGTGGCGTCGAATACCTGTTGTACCTTGGCAACTGCAATTCACTTTCTAGCGTCAGGACATCAAGCATTCGAGAGTAGAAGTAATCGCGATTACTCACCTCAGATGTTAATTTTTCTGTTTCATGGACAGACTTACTTAGAAACTGCTTATGTTCCTCAATTCGCTGTCGCAATATTTATTCCCCTCCCGTGGTAGCTACGTCTTACTATTTTCTCCAATAGAAAACCAGAATACTAATTGCTGTGTTATTTTTCAGAACACAATACTTCGTATAAGATGTTAATCAGCAATGAAATTTGGGCTTTTATTGAGCAGGAAAATTCGGCTCTTCGTCCGTTCCAGCTACACAACACGACCATTGTGGTGAATGCCTTGGATTTCATGCTAAGCATAATTCGAACGAAGACTGACTTAAGTCACGGAGGAGATTACTCTTTAATGGAGGAGAAATTTGATGCTGTTCTGAATAATTATTTCCTGTGCAATATTAAGCCCATCTTTGTTTTCGGTGGAGTCATTTCCTGCGCAGTAAGTCAAGATTAGATACAGTAGCTATATTTACGTAGTTTGTGAAGATGAAAGGTAATAAGAACCATACCCTCACACCTACTTTTGCGGTCGTGTTGGTGATTTTTTTTCTAAAATATCGACTTTTCATACTATAATCAAGTTATTGGTATAGATTGTGCATGAAGGCAAAATGCCCATTTGGGCGGGTTTTTTAAGATTTCGTGCGATTACTCATCGTGAATAAATCGGCGTTATAAAACGTAGTGACTTCGTGTGGTCGATTTATTTAATGGAACCCTGAACACTTAATCAATGTTGCTATGACCTTTGGTGTCAGTACACATTTTACTTTTTCGTAGGTGAATACACTCACAAGAAGACTTCTTGGTTTTCAAAAGCGACTCGGTGATCTCGACCATTTACTGCAAGAAATTAGAGAAGGGGAAAAAAGCTGCAGTGTAAAGTTTTCCAGCTTTCCGGTGTTCGCAAAAGAGGCACTCATGGCAACACTCTCACGCCTCGAGGTGGCCCACGTCACTTGCGACTCTGAGGCTGTTCCCGCTTGTGTGGCTCTTGCCGCTCGCCTCCGTTGCCCTGTGGTTGCTGATTCTGGTGAATTTCTACTCTATGAGTTTGAGGAACAAATTGACAGCTGCGCTTGTTTTTCTTATGTTCCCCTGCGCCTTCTCTCCTCCCGACCAGTCCCTCAGCCCACGCAATCTGGTTCTTTTTGTCTCTTAGGTCGTGTTTTTAATCCATCAACTTCTGGAATTCATCGAGTACCTTACCCCTTACGTCCTTTCTTGGCACTCTACCTTGAATTTCCCTTCGAAGTTCGCTTTCCGCTTCCTGCTTTTGTCGCAGAACTCGAGAACGGTCACCAAAACGTTGATTCCTTGAATCCTGCTCAATTTACGGTCAAACGTATAAAGACGCTTATAACGTGGTTGGAGTCTACAGCGTCCCCCTTGAACGCTTTAAGGGATTGTGTCGAACGGCTGAACGGTGAAGAAATGAAAAACGCGTTTATTCACAGACTTATCTCAATTACTTCGGTTCTTACCATTGACTTTGACCAAGGCGGGAGATTACTGAGTTATTTATTCCCTAACACAATTCTGCGTGATCCCGAGTTTACCACGTCTGCAGATCTTACTACCTGGCTTAGCAACGAACAAAATATTCCTGAACTGTTAAGACCTGTTGTAGGTCTTTTCAAAACCGAGTCCACGTCTCCAACTTGTCAAATATCAACTTTTTTTTCTCAAATACCACCCACGTTGCTTCGATCCTACCGTTCTGGCATCGTGTCACCCGTGATGCTCTCTCGTCTTTTTTCATCCATCTGGATATTGTACGCATTCGTTGAAAATTTAGCTCGCGATTCGGTTACCGACTGCGCTAGGGGTCTACGCTACCTCCAATATTGCTTGCTGTCAGGCCTCGTTAGACGCTATGGGGTTGAATTATGGAACGGATGCGATGAAGCTACAGTTTCTGAGATCTCAAGGACCACAGTACCTTCAAATGTTTGTAAATTCACTTTCAGAGTAAAACCCTTCTATCCCTCCTCAAGAAGCCCTAGAGAAGACTGTGCTTCTTTCATCTTTCAGAACTTGGGCTATCAGTTGCAGATTGGAGATGATTGGATTCAGTCATTAGCGCTTAGCTTGACAGTCTGGCATGCCCACACTCGATCCGGCGAAAGATTTGATCTCTTACGTCAACCAACTGCTTTGGCCATCGCCTTGATTGCATGTGTAATGGAAGTGTCTAACGGACGCCTTAATTCCCGACATCTGGAGGAGTTAGCTGACAGTATGGTGTGCGAGTACAACATCGACGTAGTTCATGACCTTAACCAATTCCAATTGGTTTACTTGTCCTTAGTCTCCCTATTTCGGCTTCTTGATGTGATTGTCGAATGTACTAACGGTGATGAAAACGAAAGCTCAACACTACTTCCCTTTATGCATGCTTCCCGCGTTCTTCCTCATTGTCGTCTTGCACACAATCTTGCCATCACTTTGTCGTACTCAGGGGTTCAAAAGGAGGTCTGTTCATGGTTGAGAAAACTTCTCTCTCCTTTGGATGATGTAGAAAGTACAAAGAAGGCGGATAGGTACATGATGCAGCTCGTGGTGGCTGTGTACAAGATGACCAATGTACACCAGGTTATGTTCGAGTCACACGCTGAATCTTTGCCCTTCCCTGATCATTGTGGCAAAAAACAGCCACCCACAAATCGTCACGGATTTGGAAAGAAAGCCCCACAACGACAACTTTCACATTCTCGCAATTCGTCTAGAGCTGAAATCGGTCGGGACCAACAATCACTCTCGCACTTTCCACAAACAGAACGGGGTAAAACAAAATCATTCGGCTCGCCCAACAATAATCAGTTCACTCTAAGGCACGATTATAAAAGTCGTAGCCGTTCAGACTTCATTTCAGCTTCCGCTGTACCAAAAAAATTCAACCGTCGAAATAATAATCCGGTAAGCCGGGATGAAAATTTGTTCAATTATAATCAACCTGGAGGTGTTCATCCTACCACTGAACATGGTGGTTATCGCAAACCCTATTACACTCGCCCCCTTGTATGCAACCCAGGTAACAGGTGTGATGGTGCGCAAGAAATTTCGGAACTTTTGACGAACTCCTCCACTAGATCTCAGTTTGATTTCAACAATGTTGCTAATCAACAAGCCCAACTCTCAGATTCCACTACCCCCAAAAATCCTTTTATCTCTGATATCGGTACCGGTCACGAAGTTCACGACTTTCATTCCTTGAATGAAGACTACAGGTTCGGTGAAGAACGCAAGACCGTTTGCCATTCTTCGGCCTCTGTAGTAAATGCTCAGTCTTTCTCATCACCGCCTCCGTACTTCAGCAGTGGACAGAAATACTCTGGTCGCCGTTTTTCTGAGTCCAGGGGTCAAACACAAACCCAAACTAGCGCTCAAAATCAACTACCCGTTTCTAAATATGATAGATATCTCGGTGGCCCCGGATATCTAAAAGTGCCGTATACCAAGGTGGACAATGGGGGTTTTTACGGAGAAAACACAAAAAACTGGACTGGGGTTAGGAAACATAATCCACCCCAGCATCACGGACGTGATCCTCAGAACGAATTGCGGCCCCCTCGTAACGTGGGCTGCGGCCAAACTTATCGTTTCGAGTCGTCACGAAACAAGCCCCAAAACAATCGATTCGGTGTCAGGGGTGGATACAATATGAAACCTCGTTCTGTCGGTACCTCCGAAATTAATCAAACAAGGTTCCCCAACAAGCCCTCAGGTGCTTCCGGAGCTGAAGAATGGAGCGCAGAAGCAATTACGGATGCGGTTAACAAGTTGGCCATCTCCTTTCAATGAGTTGTTCCCTTTTTTTAAGCAGACGCAACCGTATGATTCGTTAACTAAACCCCTCTAGTTTTTTACACTTTTGCAAACCCGTTACCTCGTTGTGCGGTGTGATTGGTCACAACAATAAATCCATTTCCTCCAACTTCAAAACTGATGTTTACCTGCCAACTCATCTCGACTTGATTGCCTTGCCTGGTATGAATGAGGTAGGATTGGAGCATGATCGAGAAGGCAGCTAAACAAGTAAAAATCTAGCGGCATCGAGTTACCGAAGGTAGGTGGTTATTTTACAAAACGCAACCGCCTGATGCTTATCTTGCTATAAGTTTGTAACGCTGAATTGGATTATTCATTCACTTATTATTTAAATTTAACAGGAGAGTTGCACAAGATTTCTTAGAATGTCAGAGTTTTAAATTGTTGCAGCCAGATAACGCGAGGCACTGAAAGATGCAATGAGACAATAGAGAGAAGACGCGGATAACGCATAATCCGAGAGGTTTGTCAGTGTCGCAGTAGTGTGTTTATACAAGGTAATAAGTCGCCAGTTTGCATATGCTCGCTTAACGTTGATCTCTGAACGAGCATGGCTGCATGAAGTGCAGTTACGTAAACAGTGTTTGTTCACTCTTGCTACGTGTGGTCGCTTGCTGCTAGCCACAAAATAATTGTCGCAGTTACATTTTCCTTTGTGCATGTGTTTAGCCTCTAAGCACAAAAGTGCTGTTGTCCTTGGTTCGGAAACCTTTCTAAGTATACGGTTTGTGCAACTAGAAGAAATCACGTAATCTTGCCAACACTGCGACCTTGGTAACCATGACATCAGGTTAACTAAAGGACAAGGTTGTTGTCGACCTCACATCCCAGGAGACTAGCCAACCAAATGGTGACTCAGGGGGCATGCGCCGATGTTGAAAGAAATACATCCTATACCCAATAATGAGTTTCTAGAGAATCTCTTACAACAGAAAAAATTGGGTCAAATCAGGACCAAGCACCAATAGCTCGGTCGGATGAGTCCAGCACTTTTGACGTTTGGCAAGAGTAGACTTCAATCGTATCACCAACTGAACTCAAGAGTAGATGGTACTCACGTGCTACTGTAAGAATCGCTATTCCTAGAGAATGGATGGCGGTAGGCATCATTGTTTCTTGGCTGGTCGTGTTAACTTCGAGATACATTTTAATAACGATTGTTAAAACAAGCTTTGAGGCAAAACTCAGCGGAGGCCAAATAGAAGTACTTAAACCTAATTTGAAAATCGTGTAAGTAAAGCGTTAGTTTACAGTTATGGCAGAACCCGGCTACTTCTTTTGCACACTCCTAGATATAATGTGCTGAACTAAATAAGATAGCATTACCAAAAAAAGAATAAGGACCAAACAAGAGCCAAATTGATTTTCATTGGACACAAAAGTGGGGAGGGGCGATTATTAATAGCCTGTTAAGGCCCCCGGTGCTGTTTTGCAATCACGCCAGGGCCGACGATCCGCGTCGACATGTTCCGTCCAAAGAAAGAGAAAGAATGCAGCTAACGCACAGCCTGATTTATCATAGCAGTAATGGCGTGTGTCGTGAAAGGTAGCAAGTCAGTTTGTATAGGCCTGCTAAACATCGATCCCTGAACGAACACAGTTGCGTGAAATGCATTCACGTACACCAGTTGAATCATGTTCGCTCACGCGTGCTAATTGCGTTCGGTCACGATTGCTGTGTTCGCCCGCCGCTCGCCACAGCTCTTCCATTTGGTAAAGGGATTTGGCGATCGCTTTCTTTCAACAGGAATCCCGAAAGGTAGGCCGACAGTTTTCTATGGCATCTGAAAGATTGGCCGTAAGATTATCAAATCGTTGTTCCCGCGTTATAGTTTCGGCGATTGCAGTTGCCGACAGACCAGTGGATGTTTCGATATGTATCGTCTATAGATTAGGTAGCATCCAGAGATTCGCGTCGTTCGGAGAGCAGGCGGAGTCTGGCGAATAAGCGTTATTCTGCAATGACTGGGACCAAAAACGGTGGCTGAGGGACTGTAGAACAGAGGTCTCAATAAAATACAGTGTTGTGGGCCTCAGCATGTGGTCTTGAACTACGACGGGGCCACTGAATCAACTCTGTCCCGATTTCGCTTCCCTGGTACCTGTAATGAAGAAAAAGACCGGATAGGACGTGGACACAACCGTTTACTTTAGAACTCAACCACATTGGTGTCGTTGCGTCGTAGGTGGCATTTGCGCTTGTCTTTATACCTCGAATGTGTGAGTCACACATGCACTAAAATTGAGGCTTAGGCGTGAGGATAATCCGAGGATAATGTTCATGCTAATGGGGGGAGTTAAGGATCCGCGCTTGGCGATATGCAGTGAAAAGGGGGACCGCGTGTCGGAGGCTGGAGTGATTGGATAAGTGAGTGTGAATCAACACAATTCACAACTTCATTTCGTTGCCCACACTACCGCCAATGTCAACAACAGAAATGGGACAAATGAAACATGGTATACACTGCAAAAAAAGTCAGTCGTGGTTAATATAAATGCAAATTTCAAGGCCTACAGATATGCAAAAGTATGGTGTTGTAGTAACTTTGGTTAATATTAATATATTCACCAACAATTCCTTGACTACAATCCGAAAATGTCAACTTATTATCATGGAGGATATGGACTTAACATCATAACGTCAAGATCAAAGATTAGGCTGACTTAGACCATTAATAACTGGATAGACTTGATGATTTGCGTGTGTTCACGGACCTTATTCAGCTCATGGCTTTGTAACATATAAGAGTAATTAGTGTCCTATCATAGCATAACAGTAACTGTGTAGGCTTATTTTGGCACAAAGGCGTATTAGTTAGTCATCCGGTGCTCATGTAATCGTCTCTGTGTGGGTGATTAAAAGATTCTGAGTTAAAACACACACCACCGAAAAAGGATTGTCCTTAATTAGAGCAAAAAAATCAGTTACAACGACTTCTTTAAATATGGTAAAACTACTAAATTTGACAAAAGTGTAGGATGATTTGATTTAGCTCGTTTTACACAACGTTTATTAGATGTAATCAGATTATATGGCTGGGTAAAAACAAATAAAAGTGCTGGATGATGAATTTAAATTAAAAAAATGTCGAGATTACGGGGTACTACAAAGCTTATTCAAAAATAGTTACCATATTCACTTGATCACAAATCTGTCTGCCCTATTTTCTATGCAAGTTCTTTTTAGTCAATTTCAAGAGAAAATTTGCCGTGATCGTTATAAGATTTTTTCGTTTACATTACAAGATTAATTTACTTTCCCGGTCCCTACAATTACGTTACCAGTGGAAAATGGTGGGTGGGCATTTGACCGAATTCAAGTGACACAAAATCCAAACTCCAGCCCCTCATAATTACATTAGTGCTGTTCGTCTGCAGGTATGGCGATAATCTTTGTATGTACGCACATAGTGTGAGTGTTTCGGTAACTGGTTATTTATTCGATTTGCTCGATTTACATTATTCCAAGGCAATTTGAGCATGAAACTGCAACAAATACATCCGACATCTGATTAATAAAGCTTGTAAAATTTAAAGCATTTGCATTTTTTCCAGTTTTTTTTTGCACTTTTGATTTTAATGTTTCAAAAGTTGGACTAGTAGGAAAATACGACTCGACGTTTTGCTACACACTTAGTAGCGGATGGTTTGAGCAATGGTCCAGGTGGTCAATTTCCTTTTGTTGGCGTTGCTGCCTCTAGTGTAGTTGGCTCATGTTGTTCTCGTTTTCAACAATCTCATGAGTTTGTCAAAATGCTTAAATCTATCGAAAACGATGGACTTTTTGCACTACGATAAGAGTGTGATCTTTTTTACCGAATCTGAAATGGCTCTTCAAATATTCGCTTATTTGCCTGAAAGAGAACGTGGGTTCGAAGGATTGTATTCTTTATCATTTTTAACTGCATTGGCGAACAAATTCAACTTCCAGACGTTGCATCACTGTCTAATATGGATGAGGTAAGCACTGCGAATTCTATTTGACTCATAGGAGTTGCGTTTCCAAGGGGCATTTTACCTTGGAGGATGTCGAAACCAGCAGATTGGATTTTATTATTGGAGAAAGCCTACCAATGCAGATAAGGCTTAAATTGAGTCAATCTTCAAGTGAATTGAAATTGGTATTATCTCTTTCAACTGCGTTACTTCGTTCTCAGAAGAGATCCGCCGAATCGGAAAAGGCAGGTGTAACTTACGACGGCCGAAGTAGGTGAGTGGCTACAAAGAGCACTTCTGCTAAAGTTTCCCTTCGATTATCAATCTAAGTATTTTAATTGAAGAGAAGTTGCTAAAGGTTGTTTCAATATGTTCAATCGCTCTTGTATTACGAATTTTGCTATTTATAGGCATACTGACAGGAGCAAAAACATTTATATTGTGTCAGCTTTGTTAGTTGTGTGCCGTTCATATCTTCCAGGTACATTTGCGATTTTGTTTTTCTGGCTGAAAGTTAGCTTGGAATAATTCACCAATTTCGCATCTCCGGTTCGACAACTAAATCCGTAAATAATGAAAGAAGCACATAAAAATTTGGTTTTAGTCTGTTTGTCGTCATCAAACATGGTAAATTGTTTTAATCCATGTATATGTCGCCAGAGTTCAGTAATCGTCAAGAATTTCGTTGTTCTATCATTAAATGTCGCAGATTTGATGTGAAATATCCATCCAGCTTCACCTTTAGCGGTTAAAATCGGGGGTAACAGAGCATTTATGCACAATTTTCTGCTCTTGTGCCAAAATTTTCTCTTCAATCCACCTGATCCTTAAGGAACTATGTGTTAAATGCCCATTGTCGCAACATTGTTAATTACGGAAATTGCAGAAAAATTGAATCCCCTATAATCGGCTACCTGCGAAGATGCATTTCCAGCTGTATTCAAGATTACTGGGGGGCTTGGGTACTTAAAAAATTTCATGAATTTCAGTAATTACTGATTTGAAGTATTTCTTATGACTTGCTTCTTCTCATTTCC